CCCCCCCCCCCGCAACATTTGTTTGTAGGAGAATGAGGAAGCTCATTCTTTCCAAGTTATAGTAAGTAGAATTATTTCCAACTTAGAGAAAATGAAAAAGAAATCAGTGCAAAACTGTGCAAAACAGTGCAAATACTGCTATTTGTGTGGGGGGAAAAACCACCCTGTTTCAGTACTTCCATATGTTTAAAATCTAAAAGGGTACAGGATGAAGTCATGAAATTGTGACATTTGTTGCTTTCAGGAGGGAAACTTGGTGGCTGAGAGACAGGGACAGAGGGGAGATTTTTCCTATGTTACCACTTTATACCTTCAAATTTTGAATGTTGTGAATGTATTGCTTTTCAAAAGACATACAATAAAATTTTTTAAATATTATAAAAATTCCATATGCATGTTGTCTTCATAGATTTGTATAAACGTATGAAAATCAGAAGATCTGGAATGATACATGCCAAATAATAAATGGGTATTATGCCTTAGGATGGGGAAGTAGAAGGTAGATGTATGTGTACAGTGAACTTTTATGTTTTACTTTAAATTGCTTGAATTTGAAAGTGAGATTTCTTAATGACACAAATTAAGCACATAAAAAGGGTATTGAACACAAGACAAGGAGCACTGGGCTCAGAGTACAGCTTTTTCAATTTAGTCATAAATGTGTGAGAGGCTTACCCATATTAACTTGGTCTTGAGGCATCATTCCCTTGAGTCTTTCTTGAGTCCTTGCAATGCAAGGCTCACAATGAAACAGTAAACTGGCCATCAGTCTTATAATGAATGACCTTTGTGAAGAATACTGAAATTTCTGATATCAGAACTATCCAGGAGGCAACGAGTATAAAAAATTAAGCAGTGGGAAGCCACTTTTACAGCTGTCACAAAGATACAACTGATATTTCAAAACTATATAATCTGAAGATACTGTCATGTTTTATTAGTTTAACAAAGTTGAAAGTGCTGTTTACATAATGACTTTAACAATGTTGATGTTGTAAGTGAAAGTTCACTGTGATTTTTATACTAAGTTTATTGGTATTTTTATGTAAAATTAGGACTGCAGATTATTCCCCCACCAGTCTTAGTCCAAGGATGTGACCCTAACCAGATGCAATTATGCAGTCATGTGGAACCTTCCTTTCTAGTGCTGAAAAAGAAAATGTCTCTAATTATTGGCTTCAATAAATATGAATCCATACTACTTCTTTAAAAAGTGTGTATTCTTTGAGGCTACTGAAAAGAATTTGTGATTTACAGTCAGTAACCCTGTGTTTAAGATCTGAATACATTATATAATAGCTGTGTCACTTTGCATAACCAACCACTCCTGATAGTTAATCAACTGTCCCTATCCTACTTCCTATCTCACAAAGTTATTGAAACAATAAAATGAGATAATATGAAATGGCGTTGTAAACTGTAGAGTTGTGCAAATAATATCATTATCATCTTTTAGCACCTACAGTGGCAGAGATAATGATAAGTGGCGTTGGTAACTTCCCTTACACTGTTATAAAGAAAATTTCCCCTTTAGTTTTAGAATCACATGATAACTTTTAAAACATGAAACTTCCAGAAAGTGTCATTAAAAATTTGGCACTACATCTTGTTTCTGTCACTTCATGGGAAAAAGTTAAGAATTAAAATTTTATAAGAGTCCTAGAAAATACTTGGTAATAGGAAAACAAAACACATTTGTTGTTTAGTTTTATGTCTTTCAGAACTCTTAGGAATGGACAAAAAATAGTGTAAACACTGATTTTCTCTCTTAAATTTCAGTTATCTACCTCATATTCTACCATGCCATCTTTGTGTTCTTTACCTGGACCTACTGGAAGTCTATATTTACACTTCCACAACAGCCAAACCAGAAGGTAAGAATACTGGTTACTCCATAAAGACTAAAGACAGAGGAAAGTAGAAATGTCAAAAACAAAACAAAACAAATAAACAAAAACAAAAAGAGATTTTGGGGCACCTGGGTGGCTCAGTCGGTTAAGCGTCCGACTTTGCCTCAGGTCATGATCTCGCGATCCGTGGGTTCAGGCCCCGCGTCGGGCTCTGTGCTGACAAGCTCAGAGCCTGGAGCCTGTTTCGAATTCTCTGTATCCCTCTCTCTCTGACCCTCCCCTGTTCATGCTCTCTCTCTCTCTGTCTCAAAAATAAATAAACGTTAAAAAAAATAGATTTTTTAAAAAAGCAAATAATTTTCCATTACAAAAGAGATTCAGGGTAATATTTCAAAAGGACTCTTAGTGATTAAGGTAAATGATAGTCTATTGAAGGATAGTCTATTGCAAGATCACTGACCATAGATACCTTGAAGACTAAGAAACCATTATCTGAACTGGTGATAAAATTAAAAAGCAAGAACAACTTGGATACTGAGGACTCATCTATTTCAATTTTGTAAAACTGTATAATATTAGAACCCAGTGATATTCTGGAAGACAACTCCTAGAAAAAAATTACAATAGTTAAATTATTATTTTCAAACTGTACTCCCTTGAACCAAAGAGTTTCATGCAGTATTTGAGAACGTTAATCAAAGAGTTTATAACTGTATCAGACATTTATACTGTGACTACTGTTACAGTATAAAGTTGTTACTTTACAACTGTTAGGTTGTAAAGTAGAAAAAGAGGAATGATGAAAGATATTTAAACAGCTTCCAAACATTAGGAAAAATACTGATATAAATTTCTCCACTTATGGAACCAAAATGGTACACAAGAAAAATGAAATTAAATACAAATGAAAACTAATAGAAGAATTGAGAAACATAAGAGATATAGGATATATAGAAAATAAATGGCAGCAGTCCTTCCTTATGAGTAATTATTTGAAATATAAATGGATTAAACCATCTAACTAAAAGGCAAAAATTGACAAATAAATAAACATTATCATCTATTTTTTAAATTTTATCCTTTTTAAATTTTTAATTCCAGTATAGTTAACATACAGTGTAAGATTAGTTTCAGATGCACAAAATTTAGTGAGTCAGCACTTACATACAACACACGGTGCTCATCAGGAAAAGTGCACTCCTTCATCCCCATCACCTATTTAACCAATCCCCCCACCTACCTCCCCTCTGGTGACCATGAGTTTGTTCTCTATTAAGAACTTGTTTCTTGTTTGTCTCTCTCATTTTTTTTCCTTTGTTCATTTGCTTAGTTTCTTAAATTTCACATATGAGTGAAATCATATGGCATTTGTCTTTCTCTGACTGACTTATTTTACTTAACATTATATTCTCTAGCTCCATCCATGTTGTTGCAACAACATATTGCAACATATTATATGCAACAACATATAACATATGCAACATATAACTTATATAACATATATATGTTGCAATATAACTGAATAATATTCCAGTATATATATATTATGTTAATAATACACATACCACATCTTATTTATCCATTCATCTGTCAATGGACACTTGGGCTGATGCCATATTTTGCAATTATAGAAAAAAAATGCAATAAACATAGGGGTGTATATAATCTCTTGAATTTGAGTTTTTGTATTCTTTGGGTATATATCCAGTAGCATGATGACTGGATCTAGGATAGGTCTAGTTTTATTTTTTTTAATGTTTATTTATTTATTTTGAGAGAGAGAGAGAATGCACACAAGTGGGGGAAGAGCAGAGAGAAAGGGAGAGAGAATCCCAAGCAGGCTCCACCCTCAACACAGAGCCGACACAGGGCTCGATCTCACGACCATATCATGACCTGAGACAAAATCAAGATAAAAAATTCAACCAACTGAGCCACTCAGGCAGCCCTGATATTGTCATTTTAAATTTTAACTATTCTAGAGGCACTTGGGTGGCTCAGTCAGTTAAGCAACTGACTTTGGTTCAGGTCATGATCTCACAGCTCATGGGTTGGAGCCCCATGTCAGGCTCTGTGCTGACAGTTCAGAGCCTGGAGCCTGCTTCAGATTATGTGTCTCCTTCTCTCTCTCTCTCTGCCCCTCACCAACTTATTCTCTCTCTCTCTCTCTCTCTCTCTCTCTCTCTCT